GAATGCCCGATCGTATCGCATCGTGCATTCGCTCTACAGGGGGTTAAACAGGGTATTAAATGCTCTGTTCTTTTGCTATTTTCTCTGAAATATAAATGATCCTTTCTCTTTGATTTTCTAATCATTTACTTATATCAAAGTAGACATTACGTATGTAAAATTTCGTTTCATTTTGACTATTCCTTCTTCGTGCGCTAATTTTTTTGTCTCTCTCTCCCCAAGAGTGTATTTTATAATTTAACAATACTAACAAGCAGAGGACACGAGTATGGAAATTCGTTTGGGGTCGAGACTTGGTGTAATAGTACTACTCCTTTAGGGTGTTCAACCCTCAATGTAATTTCGCCGAATGGCCAGTCAATCCGGAGAAAAAAAGCCTTCGAAATTCCTGCTTATATTTTATACAATTAAATTTCAGTATCCTCCAACGATTTCGTAGCTTGGTTGATATATCGTCTGCTTACTATGCGCGAGGTCTGGGTTCGATTCTTCGGTCAATTTTTTTTTTTCATCTAATTTAATTTTTTTTAAAATTAAATAAACTTATTTATGAAAGGTTTATTAAATATTAAACGATATTTTATGTAATTATTTTGTATTTTATAAAGTAAAAACAATTAAATAAATTTATTATTTAAATTATTTATTATTAAACTTATTTAAAATTATTATTGAAAAAAAGTATTTAAAATAATTATTAATTAAAATTTTTAAAAATAATTATTGATTAAAATTATTTAAAATAATTAATAATTAGAATTAATTAATAAGAATTATTAATAAATATTATTAAAATTATTAATTAATTTTTAAAATTTTAATTTATTTTTAAAAATTTTAATTTATTTTTAAAAATTTTAATTTATTTTTAAAATTATTAATTTGTTATTGAAAGCATTAATTTATTAATTATAATTACCAGTGACCCCATAGACTTGTCATAGAAAAATTTTATCCAAAAATGAATATTTACCTTGATAATTTCCACGGTTTATAATTAATCCCGTAAAAATGCCGATTAAAAGTTACGCGATTCGCTCCCCAATGCTACAATTTATCACTTGGCCGTGCGTATGTAATGTGTTGGGGGTGGGGTGGGGCAAAAAGAAATAAATAAGAAAATCCTCTGAAATAAGTGAATCCTTTACAAACACTGTCAAGGTCCATTTATTGCATTTCAAAGCTTACGGAATAATTTTATGGACAGCAATGCATAGAAAATGTCGTACTTTGGAAAGACGTATATATACGTCCGGAGCAATTAATGCTTTGGCTGAGCAAGATGCTTATATATGCCAGTGGAACTCAAGAGATTAAAGTCGTATTGTAGCTTTAGCATCAATTTATAGTATTATTGAATTCAATACATTGTTATTGTATGGAGAGGAGGGGGGGGGTGCGATGAAAATTATATTTGAATATTGGATTGCAAATAGTGAAAGTTTGAGAAGCACTGCGCTAATTGAACTGCGTAAGACCTATCTACAGAAGTTCTGGCTTCTGCAAGGAGCAACAATTGATTCGCGCAAAGCAAAGGATTTTACCAAGGCGAATTACACTATACAAATAGTACAGGATAATTGTTTTGAGTATTTTAGAAAGACTAAATAGCTCATTATCAAACATTACCTGGGAATCAATTTTTTTTTTTATTGTTGTTGTTGCTACAGTGAATGATATTATTTTGAGGTGTTTTTTTTATTTCATTTATCATTTCTCTTGTGATGTTAAGCAGAAAAATAGTTCAAACTCAAAAAAGTGAGTTTAACTGAAAAGAGTATTTTATTAATACCCCCAAATACAGTTACTAAGTTCTTTTAATTAAACGAATTTCACTCAATTATATGTTTCAAAATAACGAATTATATGTTATTTAAATCCATTTTATATGTAGCTTAGGATTCTGGAATACAATCTACTTTTAAGGTTTATTCACATATGTATGAAGTTTTTCTTGTAGCCGCTGTTAGCATAATAACTGACTGTCTAAAGCAACAGAGACTTTGATAGGGTCTGAGTGAGGAACGAATGAGGGTAGCTGTGAAAACCATCCAATGTAAAATGTAACATTCAAATCAGCAATTATAAGTCACTGATGGCAAATAATAATTTGTTTCATTATTTTTGTTGTGTATTTAAAGAATTTTTAAAAACATTGAAAACTTTCTTCATAAAATGTTTGTTTTCTTTCACTTTGCGAATGTTTGTTATAACAGTGACAACCTTTCCTAATATGTATATATTTTTAAATTTATTTTATTTTGAGTTAGTGAATTACTTTTTGGGCTTACGGTGCAAAAATGCCATCTCAATTGAAAAACACGACCGTTTCGGTCTTTAAGAACCCGTTGATTTTTATGTAGCTGAAAACTGAGAGTAATTGTGCGACAGTCAATAAGTAACGTAGCAATTTTTCTTGTTTTTCAGGATAGGGGCCCTAGAATAAAGTGCTCATCTTGCAAGATAATAGTTCACGAAGAATGTAAAAGTATTCTTTTAGAAAAGGTAAGCAAATGGCTGAAATTTTAAAATTAAATATGAATCAATTTAAATGCAAATTTCAGAATTGAAGCATATTTCGGTGTATTATATTAATTACGTGTACATCTATTACAGTTATCTATAAATATATCAATCTAAATCGAAAGCATCTGACCATTAATTTCTCTAATATTCTTTTTTTGTTTTGTTTTTTTGAACTGTAAAGAATCCCATTAGTTGCTCTTAACAGTTCTTATATAGATTTTGTCAAATTAAAAATTTTGTTTGAGTAGAAATGGTTTGTAATGTACATAACTGCATTTTTGAGGGTATCTTCATTTGTTTAACAAGGGAAAAAATTAAAATAAATAAAACTGGGAACACATAAGTTAAAAAGCTTTGTACAAGTGAATGGAAGTCAATCGTAGAAATTAAATAAGAAACTTTTTATACGACCTCTGACAATAAAGTTCGGTGAATGAAGTCAGAACGGCTGACCTAGAAACACCGATGAAACAAAATGCTGCACATACGTAGAGGCAAGTTTTGACAATCTGCCCCCACCGTTGTTCAATTGAGACTCATTTGTGTTCCATGAAAGACTTGTTTTACTAAGTGCTTGTTTAGTATGTTGGTTCTTAACTGAGAACTAGAAAATTAACTAACAAAAGATCAATTTAAAGATTTGATTTAAATTTGGCAAGACACCAAAAGAAACGTATGTGGTGCTGGCATGTGTTTCTGAAGATCAAGTACGAGTACGTGTACGAGTGGCTCGTCCGTTTTCGAAAAGCAGGGAAAGTGTTTCCGACAACCCACGTAACGGACCTCCTTCAGTGACGAAAACATTGAGAAAGTGAGGAAATTAATCACTAAAGATTGTCAATAACTGTGCGCATGATAGCTGATGAACTGCAGATTAACCGTGAATCCGTGCGACAAATCGTTACCCAGAATTTAGGTAGGAGAAAAACTTGTTATCGATATTCCTAACATCCAACGAAACGTTACGAGGCTTTTGAACTCCATTCCGAAAGAAGACTTCTTGAAAAGTTTCCAGGACATGTATAGCAGATCTCAGTGGTGCATACTTATGGAAAGTGACTATTTCGAAGGACCGTGAGGTACCTTTGGTTAATGTTACAGGACCGAATCTTATTGTCAGAGAAGTTATGTTCAAAAGAAGATTTACTTTGCTATAAATTAGGGATTCTCAGAACTGCTTATTGAATTATCGGTTAAAGTTCAAGTGTTAAGATCCGACAAAATGCTACCTTTTTCAATTCCTACTATTAGCTCACACTCTCTATGTATTTATCTTGGTGGAATTTTCAATCGCTAATAAAATACATTTTAAAGCGCTGAAATTTTATGTACATGATTATTTTGGATGACAATAAAATAATTTAATTATTAATAAGAAAAATTAATTGATTAAAACTAATTATTCAAAGAATTACAAATACAGCCACGTTGACATCAGTTTTGGCGACTTAGTAACCCGTTTGGTGACATGTCAAAACTTGAAAGGGGTTTTTTATCACATTTTAAAGCGCTCATTTGAGCTGAAATTTTCTATGCACTATTGTTTGGGGTAAAAATAGGATAATTTAATTATAATTAATTAAAATTAATTGACTGAAAATTAATTAACTGACTTTTTGAAGAATTACAGATACAGCCACGTTGGTTTCATTTTTAGCGACTTGGGTCAAAACTTTAAAATATTTTTTTTTCTCACGTTCTAAAGCATTCAGTTGAACTGAAACTTTATATACACGATTGCTTTGGATGACAATTCGATACTTTAATCGTAATTAATAAAAATTAGTTACCACTTAACGTTGTGCTTCTGTCCTATGTTTTTACATATTGATATTAATTGTAACTATTTAATAAAAAGTAGCTAAAATAAAAATTTTCTTTGTTGATCTAAGTAGGGAATTGACTTAAATTTTTTTTATATTACTTGTTTTTGATCGAGTTACAAAATTTTTCATATGTGTCGATTTTAATTCTACCAGTTTGCATCAACAGTTTTTCTATTGACGAATGCTTAGAACACGATGCCAAAAATTAGCATAAATTTTCACATACTATATTAATTAACGCATCCAATTTTTTGAAGTTATACTTCTTTTGGGGCGTTAGAGAAATAGGATGAGGGTGAATTTTCACGATGCGCTCGCACACCGTTACGGATGTGACGCAAAACCGTCACGGATGCGAAAATGCTTTGTCTAGAAATATACAGAACGTTACAGATCATTGCCGCCTTCGAAATCTCAGAAAAATATTTCTCTTCACTTCCCTAAAGAAATGGACACCGGGGTTTGAATCGAGAACTTCTCGATCTGCAGTCGAATGCTCTACCACTAAACTATACCCCCGTCTCAGCGAACCTTTGCTTTCCGTAGGAACTGATTCGAAAATGCTTTGATTAGAAATATTTAGAACAGGACAGATCAATCCCGCCTTCAAATTTCTCAAAAAAATATTTCTCTCCACTTCCATGAAGAAGAGGACACCCGGATTTGAACCGGGACCTCTCGAACGGCAGTTGAATGCTCTACCACTGAACTATACGCTCGTGTCAGCGAACCTTTGCTTTCCGTAGGAACGGATACGAAAATGCTTTGATTAGAAATATTTAAAACGGGACAGATCAATCACGACTTCAAATTTCTAAAAAAAATATTTTTCTTCACTTCCCTGAAGAAGAGGTCTCCCGCGTTTGAACCGGGACCTCTCGATTAGCAGTCGAATGCTCTACCACTGAGCTATACCTTCCGTATCAGCGAACCTTTGCTTTGCGCTGATTTGTGACGTCACTACTAGTAGGGAGAGATCGTCCTTTGCCTACGGAGCTTCTCTGATACACATTTGTTTGAACACTTTTTGTTATTAAACCAAACATACTAACAGGAAATTAAAAAAAAAATTAGTAAATTAATCTTTGTATTGTGTTTTATGTACATAAAATATAAGAGTAAATATTAGTTAACCTTTTTAAAAAACAATTGCGAGTATATGATTATCGATGTATTTACTACAAACGCATTGCGATGAACATAAACACATTTATTAAATTTTAGCAAATTATAAGAGCCTTTTGTGTTCGTATATTTATTTTTGAAGTTATCCTTCTTTTGGGTGTTAGGAAAAAAAGATGAGGGTACATTTTTACGATTGCCTCGCACACCGTCGCGGATGCGTGCGCATACCTTCACGACACCGATGCGCGAGCGCACACCGTTGTCCAATATTTTAACATGCAACTTTTTTGGTGCTATGGGACTGATATTTGGGGGATCATAATAACTATTGTTATTAACGATATCTGTTGGGACGCATCCCCCTGTGCACTTCCCCCTCTACAGCTTTTTGGCCAATATCTTGGCACCTGAGCCTCACAGTACATTAGGACCTGGCTCATTCAATTCCTCTCCATCTGTTCTTCCAGTTACTACAATTCCATGCTTATAGGGTTATTTCTTTCATAGTTTCTAATTGTCTTAAACTTTTTAAATTTGTTTAAATTCACAATATCTTGGTTCCTGTTCGAGTCCCGGACATGAGATTTGAACCAAGTGTTCCACATGTCATGATCCATCCAGTCATCTGCTTCATTCCCATAGTGTAGGCAAAGGGAGGGCTTAAGCACTAAAATATCACGCTCCCATGTTAATCCTATGGGGACTGGAAAAAATTTCACCCCCTTCCCCTATGGAATTGAGTTTGGAACTTGATTTTTGGAGGTCCGCTATATTTTCGTATTAGCGCCAGCTTTACGTGCAATTGCCCCCCCCCTACAGGGCTTCTTCAGATATAACTGGAATCCTATGTCACTTTGGTGGACCGCACCGGCTGGATTCGATTGTTCTTCCTATGAGCATCCCAAACATATTTTTTCAGGACCATAGCCCCATTTCTTTACCCATATTTAACTTTTTAAAATTATTTTAAAGTTATAATTATTTTAAATCCCGCATAGCTCCGAGGATTTCGGAGATTCGTTAATGAAACTCCGACCATAGGTTCTCCTCGTTGAGCTGTTTTATCTGCTATAATTCGTGTGTAAATAGTGGGCTTACGGGGGGGCGTTGTCACTAAGATTATAATCCCCATGTTTTTCCTATGGGGAACGATCTTTTTATGACGTAACGATATTACAGAGATAGAAGGATGAAACTTTGGGATCACCTACTACTCTGTGTATCGTTGGGAAGTACGTGACTATTTACATCACAATTGTTCCACTCCGGGGGAAGATTATTTCGTTTTCCTTTCCCGAGCTAGCACCGCCCCATTTGGAACTACCGACTCTGGATCGGTTCTAATGGATTCCTCTTGTGTTTTCTCACAACCAAGCCCAGTTTCGTGTTGCTGGGTGCCCTGCTTCTATTTTATTTAATTGTTTTAATTACTTTAAAATGACCATAACTCGGGGGCTATTCAGGCGGGTGTCTTAATTTTCTCCGGAATGATTCTTCCCGCCGAGACATTCAATATGAGGTCTCAGATGTCACATTCGGTTCACTTCATCTCCAGATACAGTCTGATACCCCTCCATGTTATTGGTCTTATGGGCTTGATTCATGAAGTCACATGATGAAAACAAACACGTGTTTTCCATTGAATTCAAATCAAACATTAAACTAATTGTACTTTTTTTTCTATTTGTAAAACTCAGATAAAATTTCAAATTTCATATTTTGTTAAAGAAAGATGTTTAAATGTTAGAGAAAAAAATTTCTTCAAAAAGATTTTTTTAAATTAAAAAAAAAAGTCGTATTTTATGCTTATACTTTTAAATAAAATGCATTTTGTATACATAAGTACTTTATAAGAAAAAGTTTCTGCAAAGAGCAAAACTTGGCAATACTGGAGCGCTTGAACTGATTAGTTGGAAACACAAGATAGTTTTTATCGTGTGACTATGACATCAAATGAGTTTTTAAATTGATTGGCTAGAATCACGTGGCTCTCATTATCATGTGACTATGACGTCACATGAATCAACCTCATTGTCCCTGTGCGGGGGTGTTTAAATTTATTTAAATCGTGATTATCTCCGATTTGGCTGGTCCAACTGACTGAAGGTTAGTATCGTTCAACTCTGCTCGTGACCACCTTTCGCCCTTGGCCTAGCTTGCTCTGCTAAAGATTTTTAGAAAGATTTTAATCTTGTTACGCCAAAGAAGTATAACTTCTTACTTGCGTACATAAGTACACACACACTTTTTTTTAAATTTCCTGTAAGTATGTTTGGTTTAATAACAAAAAGTGTTCAAACAAATGCATCAGAGAGGCTCCGTAGGCAAAGGACGATCTCTCCCTACTAGTAGTGACGTCACAAATCAGCACAAAGCAAAGGTTCGCTGAGACGGGGGTATAGCTTAGTGGTAGAGCATTCGACTGCAAATCGAGAGGTCCCCGGTTCAAACCTGGGAGACCTCTTCTTCGGGGAAGTGAAGAGAAATATTTTTTGAGAGAAATTTCAAGGCAGGAATAATGTGTCTCGTTCTAAATATTTCTAATCAAAGCATTTTCGTATCCATTCCTACGGAAAGCAAAGGTTCGTTGACACGAGGGTATAGCTCAGTGGTAGAGCATTCGACTGCCGATCGAGAGGTCCCCAGTTCAAACCCGGGTGACTTCTTCTTTAGGGAAGTGAATCGAAATATTTTTCTGAAATTTCGAAGGCTGCAATGATCTGTAACGTTCTGTATATTACTAGACAAAGCACATTTTCGCGCATCCGTAACGGTTTTGCGTTACATCCGTGACGGTGTGCGCACGCATCGTAAAAATTCACCCTCATTCTATTTCTCTAACGCCCCAAAAGAAGTATAACTTCAACAAAAAAAAACTGTGCGCTGTCAACTGTTTGGTGAGCCAAGTACAGAGAGCATTTTTGGTCTTCTGATTGTTTGGGTGGCCCTCTATTTGCGCGCCCCTGTCTTGCTTCTTGGCACCGGCGCGTTAGGTCAAAATTGAGAAAATGCCCGCGTGGGCCTTATAATATGCTTTTATCACTTCTATGTTGAATGGAAGTAAAATGTTCCTGTCCTTAAGATATCTAATAGTTCTCTTCTTTTCGATATCGTTGCCTTTAATGGGAGTTGGAAACCTCTCTTTCTATACTGACAATGTTAAATTGGCTGTTTTCGATTATCATTTCTCAAAATCTGTTATATGTACATGCTTGAAATTTTTCATACAATTAAAATACACTTTTCTCATTATACTGAAATGAGCTTTTAGCTAATTTTGAATTTTTTCATAATTTATGAAATATTTTATCAAACATTGCGAAATTTGACTCATTTTTCACATAAAAAAATGTGTAAAAATTTTTTTTTTGTTTTTTACAAAAAGCTCATTTTTTAGTACATATTATAACCATCATTATAAATATATTATAAAAAAATTACATACCTGTGAACAATACTTTCTCAAAAAAAGGTACATCGAACATCAAAATTTACATTTTGAGATAAATTGATTTTAATGTATACAGTGAGACTTTTATAATCGGCTAGGAAATAAAGAAATAAAAGGTTCAATTTGCAATGAAAGATAATTGTTTTTTTGTTTACATTAGACGTTCAACTTTTAAGCAAAAACGAAGTACTTTGTTTACATGTTTCGCCATTCAAATGGGCATGGCCCAGCATCAAATTAATAAAAAATTTATTTAAAAATAGGTTTTAAGGGCTTCTAATTACCTTAGAGGTTAAGATATGGTATTTTTAGAAAGGTTAAAATCTATACAAATTAAAAATGTAAAAATCTCAAATTGTCAAAAAAAAAAAAGAAAAAAAAAAAGGAGTTTAGCTTTCCAACACTCCTTAACTGAATAAAAGTGGGGGAAGGGGCACAATGAATTCTGTTTTTACACGTTCCCGGAGAACACCGTATTGACTCGAATCTAAACCCCCCATTCTCTACTGGTTTTTTAAAAAAAAATATGAGGAAGGATTCATCGATATCCGATATTTAAGAAGTTTAAGAAAATGAGAAATAATAAAAAGTTAACAATTAATTTTTATTTTGCCGGTATTAAAATCTTTCAAACACAAACATACATACTCTAACCGTCAGTGTCATGTTTCGAAACTAAATCGTCACTCTTATTGTCATAGCTGACTTCGGTATTGAAGCCGATAGTATCTTCCTCCATGCCGTTCAATTCATTGTTTATGCAGCATTTTTTAAGAAGTGTTGGAAAGCTAAAATCGTAATTTTTTGATAATTTGAAATTTTTGTTTTAAAATTGTATGGATTTCTAACTTTCTAAAAATTATTTACTTTAACCTTTAGGATAATTAGAAGCCCTTAAAAGCTACTTTTATCCTTAAATCTATTAACCGTTGAAACTGGGCCACGCCCATTTGAATGGCGCAAAATGTACACAAAGTACTTCGTTTTTACTTAACAGTTGAACGTCTGATATAAATCAAAACAAGTATCTTTTATTGTAAATTGGGCCTTTTATTCTTTTTATTTCCTAGCCGATTAGAAATCACAATGTATACATTAAAATCAATTTATCACAAAATGTAAATTTTGATGTTCGATGTACTT